CGGGACCCGGCCAGGGCTGCCAGCGTGTGGCCGGGCGGGTGAAGCAGCAGGAGTGTCGTATTTTGTATCCAGATGGTGTATTTTTTGTATTCACGTGTATTTTACCCACTTCAGCGTCCCGCTGAATCACGTCCTGCTTCGCACAGGGCTACTTTGTGCCTGTGTGTAGATAAGCACTACAGAAAACTTAAAAAAATTCTAAAAAAATTTGAAGGTTAAGTGTGTTAAAATTCTTAAATACGCTTTTTGTGTCAGAATAGTTGTGTCTGATCATGCATGCTGCTGCCAGTCGATGCAGCACAGACACAGAGGTGGGTTTTTGTGTGCACATTGGTTTTTCTCTGCGTGGCGCATGCGTGTGTTTCCCTGTCTTGCAGTAACTGCCCATGCATTTCATTTTCATGTTTTTAATGTTGAAAATCAGAGATATTACAGATTTTTAGGATACCTTCAGTTTGCAAAGGATGTGAATTTTTGTGTGTCACATAAAGCTAGGTACCCATTTTTCTCTTTTTTTAAAAAAAAGAATACAATCAGATGACAACGAAAGAGATTATTATGTTTCAAAGGAGTTTAGTGGTATACTTGCATTTGCCCAAAATGGAATGGTTTTTGGAAGTCTTGTCTGCATCGGGCTCTGCACAATGGGTATTCGTAGATCTTGATGTTTTAACATCCTGGGCCACGATACTTGACTGCTTCTGAGGCTCGCCTGGGAAGCAGTGTGGATTGTGGCATGGGTGTGTTTGATCCCCTCTTGTTTTTTTGTAGAGCTAGAGAAGGAACGAAACCGAGGCATTGGGAAACCTCTGCTAGGAGGGCCCTTCTCACTTGTCAGCCATGAGGGACAGCCCAAGACCAGCAAGGACTACATTGGCCAGTGGGTGCTGATCTACTTTGGCTTCACGCACTGCCCTGACATCTGTCCTGATGAACTGGAGAAAATGATTGAAGTGGTAGATGAAATTGGTATGGGAATTTGGTTGGCATAGCGGTCCTTTTTATGGGAGGTCCAGGTTTATTGTGGTAAAATATAGCAAATGGTAATAACAGATTGTATTTTTTTAAAAAATGCTGTTGACTACTATTCAATAGTTGAATTAATTGCTAAGTGATACATGCATCAATCTGCCTGTCACTAGGATCTGATATTTAGATGACAGCACTGATCTTTCTGCAACAGGGAACTTGGTAATAAAGTGTGAGGGTGGCAGGTTACAGGGAGCAGTGCTGTTGCATTGTATTTTTGCCAGGAAGTGGTTGTGGAGTGTATTAGGGCTTTTTCCCTCATGTTTTATTAATTCTGAGAACAAATCTCTGTGAGAGTCTCTTCCGAGAGTAACTGAATGGAGGCTGGGGGAAGGCTGTGCGATAGGGGTGGTTTTCCCAGCCTGCAGGCCCTGAAGAGTACGGAGCAGGGATAACAGTAACTAAGCCAGTGGGAGGATGGACTGAAGTGAAGAAAATACAGTGGAGGCTCACCTATCCTCGCGCTCCACCATCACATCACTGTGCTTTGATACGTGCATCATGCCATGGCGTTTTCTGCATAAGAGCCGATTTATCATCTCTCCTAAGCAGACCAGGGTCTCCAGCTGAGAGACTGGAGGTGTAGCTTCACCCAGCACAAGCACAAAGTGTTGGATTTCACAGCATTTGCTTCATTCAAAGATTACATAAATTAAGCTGCATAAAATGGCCTTTTTTGTCACATAGGGTGGGCTTGGATTAATGTTGTCATAGCTTGGCTGTGAGCTTGTTTAAAGGGAGGTGAGAAATTACTCTTATTTTTCTAAGAAAAATAATAATTGTTAATGTCACAGATCGAATTCCATCTTTGCCTAATCTGACCCCACTCTTCATCACCATTGATCCTGAGAGGGACAACGAAGAAGCCATTGCCAGATATGTTAAAGGTATGAGTGTTTCCTTCCTCCATGTCTTACAACATGTAATGTAAAGCACTGAGAAGGAGGCTCTTGGTGGGATTCTTTTCACTAAAATGTCTAAATGTCCTCCTATCTAGAATTTTCTCCAAAGCTGATCGGATTGACTGGTACCAAGGCACAGATTGACCAAGTGGCCAAAGCTTACCGTGTGTATTACAGCGAAGGTCCCAAAGATGAAGACAATGATTACATAGTAAGTAAATGTAGGGCCTTTGCCTAATGAAAGACTTTGGATAAGAGCAGCATATAGATTTTAAAATCAGAAGCCAGCCATTGCTTCAGCCACGCTGAAGTCCTGCGTGACAGAGCCCTGTTGCACCTGTGTTTTACAGGTCTCAGTCAGAATCAAGGTGCCCTCTTACAAGCTCAGAACCTCACTGAAACATGTTCTAAAAATGTACAATCCCAGGCCTGCAGACAGGATAGCATATGAGCTAGCAAGCCTGGCAGTAATTTGGACTTTTTTCTGTCATGTAATGTTTTTGTCTGGCCTTTTTCCTATGTGGTCCAAAGTGGAAATGGAACTGGGAAATTAAGGCAGTAGGAAGAGGGAGAAATGAGAGGTAAAAGTGAGTAACAGCTCATTCCTGCCAAACTGACACCAAGGAGCAGGGTCTTCCTGGCAAGAGACTTAGATGATGCAAAGTCTGCCTGCAGATACTGTGGGGCTCCTACTGCTGTGTCAAATGACAGAGAATGGAAGAGAGAGCATGTTAATGCTAAACAAAGGGGGAATAAAGTATGTAATGATGTGAAGGGGGAAACTGAGGCTTAAGTGAGGCCAGTCTGGTTAGTCAAAATCTTACACTCTCAAAGGTAATAGGACTGGTTATAGGGCTCAGAGCTGCTGCCAAGGTCTTCCTGACTTGCCACACCCTGAGCAGACTGGAAGAGTAAAGTAGGTACAAGTTCTGGGCTCCCCGGTTCAAGAAAGATGAGGAACTCCTAGAGAGAGTCCAGAGGAGGGCTGCAAAGATGATGAAGGGACTGGAGCATCTCTCCTATGAGGAAAGGCTGGGGGAGCTGGGCTTGTTTAGCCTGGAGAAGAGAAGACTGAGAGGGGATCTCATCAACACGTACAAATATCTTAAGGGTGGATGTCATGAGGATGGAGCCAGACTCTTCCTAGTGGTGCCCAGCACGAGGACAAGGGGCAGTGGGCACAAACTGAAGCAGAAGAGGTTCCAGTTGGATGTGAGGAAGAACTTCTTTACTTTGAGGTTGACTGAGCCCTGGAACAGACTGCCCAGGGGGACTGTGGAGTCTCCTTCTCTGGAGATATTCAAACCCTGCCTGGACAATGTCCTGTGCACCCTGCTCTGGGTGACTCTGCTTGAGCAGGGAGGTTGGACTGGGTGATCTCCAGAGGGCCTTTCCAGCCCCTGTCTTTCTTGGATTCTGGGATTCTGTGAAGTGATATGACATGACAAGTGAGGATACAGGCTATATGATCCTCATTTTTCTTCTTCATTACAAGAACTAAGGGCATCAGAGAAAACTCAGAACAGGTTCAAAAGGAAAAATGATGGTTCTTGTCGGGCATGTGAGAAGTGGAAGCCCTCGCTACAGATGCAAATGGTGGAAGTTTATGGGAGTCCACAGGGAAACTTGTTAGTCTTTGGGTAAAACAATCTGTGAGGATTATGGAATGCACAGAAATCTTGCCTAGTTCAGGAAGCCTATGAGCTAAAAATGTTTGGGAGGTGGGAGGTAATAGAGGAAGATAGCATATTTTTGTTGCTGGTTTTATACTCTTCTTTAAAGTAATTGTTGTTGGCCACTATTTGAGGTAGGATGCTGAGGCAGATTGGTTTTGGTTTAATCCAGTATTGTCTATTCTTAATCTGTTTTTTAAAACCATCTGACTGCAGCAAATAAGTTATCCATGTGGCCAAAAAGATTGGTGGAACAAAGAAGTGGAGCACAGAAAGAAACAGCAAGAGCAGCACATGATCTCAGTAAAGAGAAGGTGAAACCACAGTGATGATGTGCACTGCTCTACGTTGCAAAAAGGGGTGTGAAGTGGCAGATCAAGAACTTGTTTTTGCTTAAAGTGGCAACTCAGTAGCTGCAGAAGTCTGTGTCTAAGATACTGTACTTGAACGGAGGAGAGAAGCTTGCTGGAGAAATTCAACACCAATATCAATCTAGCATCAGTCTGAAACGGATCTAAAGATGCTGCTTAAAATCAGATTTATAAAAGGGGGCTGGTGGAAATGTGAGAATAGGTTATAGGAACAGGATGGGCAAAGCATGCCTGCTCAGGAGGAAAAAATCAGTAGATTCTGACACTTAAATGAGTGAACTGAAGTTGAGGAGAGATGATGGGACAGAGGCCAGAAAAGCTGAAAGAGTGCTGCTGCTTATGAAATAAACCACACACGGATTCTAGCAAACCACATCTGGATTCTGGCATAGCCATGAGTACAGGGGCACTTCCCTACTCCTGCTGGTCACACTATTTCTGATACAGGCCAGGATGCCATTTGCCTTCTTGGCCACCTGGGCACACTGCTGGCTCATGTTCAGTCGGCTGTCAACCAGTACCCCCAGGTCTTTTTCCACCAAGCAGCTTTCCAGCCACTCTTCCCCAAGCCTGTAGCGCTGCATGGGGTTGTTGTGACCAAAGTGCAGGACCCGGCACTTGGCCTTGTTGAACCTCATGCAGTTGGCCTCGGCCCATCGATCCAGCCTGTCCAGGTCTCTCTGCAGAGCC